TTCCAGTCAGGACCCAATTCATTGACTAGAACTTGCTGAACCTGCCACGTTGGCATGAAATCAGCACTTTGACGGACTCGTTCGAATACTTTCTGCATTTCTGGACTTATTATGTTCGTGTCCTGGATACTCAATATCTGGCCGATCTTCAGGGCAGCTCCTCTCACTTTGCAGAGGGTTGACACAATTCTCTCGGCGTTGGCTTTTGTCAAGAAGGCGTTATCCAAACTCTCCCCGATTCCCTGATCCTTAATTCCCAGTGTTCTTCGTCCATATTCAGCAATCGTACCGATTCCCAAACCGATTCCAAGAGTTCCGAAACTCACCATCCGCTGAATTCTCGTACTGGGGACTTTTCTCTCCCTAGCGTTTACTGAAAGCGTCTGTTTAGGTTTTATCTTCGGTTTCACCCTCGGAATTTCTTTCGTATCTGATATTTTTTCGTCGTCGATTTTTAAAATCAATTCTTCGGTCTTCTCAACCCACGATATTTTTCCAGGTGTCGATTCTCTAGTTCTTATTCTACTCTCGTGCTCCATCTCTAACTTTCGGAGTTGCTTTTTCTCCCTGTCTGTCAACTCTATTTTAGGAATCATTTTCTCGTGCCCACCGATGTTCTCTATTTTTTCTTTGACACTGCTGTATTCTCTGGAGACGTTAACGACATTTTGAAAAGATGATTCTTCAGAAGTTTTGGGACTACGCATCTCCCTGGCATCCTTCGCTGGATCATAAATCTCGAGGTGTGGATCCTCGGGCTTTGGATTTTGTGGAGATGCTGAGGAATGCGTGATTTCATTTGTGAAGTGTTTTGCTAGCTCTGTTATCCCCTTTTCTACAACAACCACTCTGTCGAGTAGTTCTTTCACCGATGACAGAACTTTCTCCTAAAAGCGAATTTCGATATTAAAATTCTGGTCCCTCCGGTATTAATTTTAATTAGAGAATTAATGGATTAATGGACAGATGATGATGAACTGGAATCATAAACTTACTGGTGCCTGACTCAGTTGTATCTCAGATATTTGTTGTGCAACACCTTTTATATTATCTTCAGTCACCCTTTTAACACTGGAATTATCAACAATTTTTTGAACATTCTCCACCTGATGCTTGGCAATACTATTTGCAACAGTTCTGATTCCTCGAAGGACTCCAATAACATCCGAACCACACGAACGAGCCATTTTTATTTTTTTAAAAATTGTGCAAAGTTTAAGCCCCAGGGATCATGAATGAATTTACAAATTACCCTCACTTTCTCCAATGATTTTCTAAACTGAATATGAACTTGAAAGAATTGTCAACATAAATTTTACAGAATTTTCTAACAAATGCAGAGAGAGGATCCAGCAATAATGAATAAATATAAAAACAATAAAAAGGGACTTGTTCTTGTTGGCTAACAAAGAATCACCTGCTCTCTATTTATATAACTCCGAAGGTTATGATCAAGTTCAAAAAAAGCAATGGACGACACTCGCCTTAAGGAAAAATTATGGAAAATGGTAATCAAGTTGATTGTAAACC